AAACTTAATTGTATTAAGGTGTATTCATTGTATCTTAATTAAAAACGGGAAACCCAAAACTGAAAAAAAAAAAAAAAAAGAAGAACCCAATAAAGGCAGGTAATAATAGTGTCAGACTCGAGAGTTCCCTGGACTGGAAGATTCTGACCACATGGAACCTTCACCTTGTGCCTGTCCATGAGGGTCCTTGCCTCCCTTACCCACCCTTCACTCTTTCCCAAGTCAACATTATGAAACTGCCACCACCTGGTGATTAGGGGAGTGTAGAAACTGATCTGCAATCCAAGACCCAAGGAGTTTCCACCACAGCCCTGGAGGCCAAAGAGTATGGTCAAAGCATGGCCACTTTGGTCTATAACCAGATCCCCTCCCACCAGGATTCATGCCCCACTCTTCCAACTGGACCAGAGATTAATTTTCACTAATTAATTTCCTTCTTGCCTAGACACTAGTGCTTCTCCCACTATTAGAATACTCTCTCACTGGAGGAGAGAGACAAAGTGACATAGTGAGGTAGATGGCAACAGGAGCAGTTAGGAGTTGAAGAGGCTTTGGTCAGCCAAGTTCAAATAATGAGGACTTAAGATCCTAAACATTGTCTGCTCTCATGTGGTACATAAAAGATGTTTAAAATTAAATTAACGTTCTTACCAAGGCCTGTTTTTGTGAAACTCTGGATCTAAAAAGACTTCTGAATGTAGAAATTTGCCATCTGGCATTGAATTTGCTGTTTTTTGTAATTTGTATATACTTATGAGAAATAATGGTCGTGTTTCATCTGTTGTATCTTGCCAAGGGCTCTTGGCACTGACAGCAAATTTTTCCTTATTGATTTGCAGATTGAGAGGATCCAGAATCCAGAGCTCTGGAAACACTACCAGACAAAGAAAAACAACATGGACGCCAAAAATGGCCAATTAATAAATGAGAAGCTGCTCTTCCATGGGACAGATGCCGACTCAGTGACACTTGTGAACGGAAAAGGCTTTAACCGCAGTTATGCTGGAAAGAATGGTAAGGACGCAAGTAATCTGGCTGCTTCAAATGAGGTGTCAGCCATGAGAACCCAAGCTGGCTGGGGACAGTATGGATGGTGTTGTGTTCTCTCATTGTTGGGGGCCATGTTACAGCCAAAGTTTTAGGTTAGACTCACTATATTTCATCCCGAAGGGACTGACTGGCCCTTCAGGGTGGGGGAATGATTTTTAAGAATAAAAAACCAGGGACTTCCCTGGTGGCACAGTGGTTAAGAATCCGCCTGCCAATGCAGGGGACACGGGTTCGAGCCCTGGTCCAGGAAGATCCCACATGCCACAGAGCAACTAAGCCCGTGCGCCACAACTACTGAGCCTGCGCTCTAGAGCCCACGTGCCACAACTACTGAAGCCTGTGTGCCTAGAGCCCATGCTCCGCAACAAGAGAAGCCACTGCAATGAGAAGCCCGCGCACCACAACGAAGAGTAGCCCCCGCTCGCCTCAACTAGAGGAAGCCTGCACGCAGCAACGAAGACCCAACATAAAAAAAAAAAAAAAAAAAGAATAAAAAACACACACAAAAAATTTAAAAGAAGCTTTAGAGAGAACTGAACATTATTTTAACATTATTTGACATATTGGGTCAACATGTCAAATTATAGACTAAATTGAAATCCTTAAAGATGTTTTGTTTTTCTCTTCACAGCTACGGCATACGGAAAGGGAACCTATTTCGCTGTCAGTGCCCATTATTCTGCCAGTGATACATACTCCAGACCGGATGCAAATGGGAAGAAGCGTATGTATTATGTGCGAGTACTCACTGGATCCTACACAGTTGGAAACAAGTCATTAATTGTGCCTCCTCTAAGGGACCCCCAAAATCCTACTGACTCATATGACACTGTCACAGATTGTGTGCAAAATCCAAATTTATTTGTGGTATTTTATGACTACCAGGCTTACCCAGAGTACCTCATCACTTTTAGACAATAACATTTTGGTATCCTTTGCAGAAGATACTCATCTATACATAGCTAACTGTAAAGCAAGCTGTAGGTTTTTTTTCTCTTAACAGCTTTTTCTAAGATCAGAGGACCCTTGTCACTGAAATCAGACATTCTCCAGCCTCTCTTTCAAAACTGGAATGAACCTCTCTTGAGAATTTGAGAATTTAATTGGATAACTTAGAGTTACAACTATGTGTCCTCAACCATGGATATCACATCTGTAGACGTACAGGTGTTTATTTCCAGGAAGGAGAGTATAACATTAATCTGTCTTTTTTTTTAAATTGGGGTATAGTTGCTTTACAATGTTGTGTTCGTCTCTGCTATACAACCAAGTGAATCAGCTATGTGTATACATACATCCCCTCCCTCTTGGATCTCCCCCCCCCCGCCACCCCACCCATCTAGGTCACCACAGAGCACTGAGCTGAGCTCCCTGTGCTATACAGCAGGTACCCACTAGCCATCTATTTTACACTGGTAATGTATACATGTCAATCCCAATCTCCCAGTTCATCCCACCCCCACTTCCCCCTCCACGTCCACACATCCGTTCTTTACGTCTTCATCTCTATTCCTGCCCTGAAAATAGGTTCATCTGTACCATTTTTCTAGATTCCACATGTAAGAATAACATTAATCTTAAAGGCAGAGGACACAGTGATATAACTTCAGCTGCCACTGAGAGACAGCTGGTATCATGTCAGGACTCCATACTGCTGTGGGGAGCACAGTATTACTAAGTGGGTGGGGCTGCTGTCTTCCCTGGGTGCAGGGATGGCGTCTAATTTTCTTTATCCCTGGGCTGAGGTCTGTGCCTGATGTACAATAGATGCTGCATAAGTGTTTCATAAACCACTTAAGAATGAAGAAGCCCTGTCAGACCCCTAACCAAAGTGGGAACCATCTCTTCAACACCCTTGACTTATTGTCACTTTGCCTCAAATCGATGAGATTCCATGGCAGGGAGCTTTTTCACAAAGCAGCCTATGGACATGTGGGACAGCTCTGGTCAGGGCTCTGGGACTGCAATGCAGCCACGTCCTGCACAGTCCGGGGGGCTGTGGTCTAGCTTGGGGACTAGGTGAGCTGTATCCCATGGAGTTGTGCAGTGCAGCAGCCCTGTTTCCAATTGGTTCTTTCTAAAGTTGAACCCAAATCTGCCTTTTTATAACTTTTATTCATGGTCTTAGTTCTGCCCAGTGGAAAAAAGGGATAATGCCTGCTATATTTTCAGTATGAAGCCCTTCTACTATGTTAAGATTAAATGAATCTAAGGGTATTAAATAGCACATTTTCCTTGGCAGCCTAGCTTCTGATGATTTTAAAGCCTTGTGCATAAATAAACCAAAGGAATTAAGCAGTCATATTACTAATTTGCTAACTCAGTAGCTATAGGATAGTAATGGAAAGTTTCTTTTTTAACTTCCTCAGGTAAATTTCAGATTCTAAAACTGTTTATTGAGTGCCTCCATTAACCAGGTACTATAAGAGGTGCTTTCACATAACAGTATTTATTTTCTTCCCCCAAACACTCTTGTGAGGTAAGAATTATACCCCCGTTTTAAAGCTGAGGAAACTGATGCTCAGAACACAAGAAGCTTCCTTGCCTTAAGTCGCCTGGGTAACAGGCCTCAGAGCCAGCAACTGAATCTGGGTCTTTGTGTCATCAAGCCCCTTGCTCTTCCCACTATAGAACATGGCTTCTAGATTAATGTTACTGATTCAGGAATATCTCAGACAATCTGTGAATTATCCTCATATTTCCTTGGCCTTGTCCCTTCTGGCTTTGGTTTTCATTGTAGAGTCTCTTTATTTGAAGTTCTACAGGCCAAGAGGCCAGAGCTATGCCCATGGGGAGCCAGGACAGATGATGAACTTGGATGCTAGGGGTCACCAGGAGGATAAAGGCCCCAGGGAGCAATGCCTGCACTTCAAGAAAAGGAGGTTGAGGGGGCCATAGTTGCTGCTTCATTAAACACAGATGTCTTGAAATTTTTCTTGCTGTTGCTGTTTTTTAAGTGGATTGGCAAAGACTTCTTATTGCTTAGGAGTAGCTTCCCAGCCACTGGCATCTGAACTTGGGCTTGACAATGAATGTAAGAAATAAAAAAGGAGAGACGTGCTCTCTAATTTGTTCTTGTTCTCCAGTGGTTTGGTTAACTTAGGCAAGGCTGAATATCAGGGTGTATTGCACCAAGTATGATGATTCAGTCTGTAGATGTTATAGTTACCCTCAGTCTAAAGACATATGTCATACAACACAGGGAACATGGCCAATATTTTATAATAACTGTAAATGGAGTACAACCTTTAAAAATTGTGAATTACTGTAGTGTACACATGCAACATATAATATACATCAACTATACTTCAATAAAAAATTTTTAAAATAAATATTTCCTCCTTTTTGAATAAAATGCTTGGAAAATGTTATTTGGTGGTTAAACATCTTTATCCTTTAGGGCAAATACAGGAGGGAGAGCTTGATGATAAACACAGGCCACTGCTGATAAAAGACCACAACTAAACATGACAGCATCAAGGTATCCTCACAGTATCAATAGCATTCAGCTGAAAATTACAGGAAGGGCACAGTACAGCTTTAGTTCAGTAAATCTGAAGGGCGGATTGACCCCAAGAAGTAGCCCCTGCTAAAACACGCCCACTTCGAGCCTGTGTTAGGTCTTGGTGGTCTACTCCAGGGCCAGAGATTCTTAAACTTCTTTGCTATTTGAAGCACTTCAGGTGCTTGCTGAGACTGCAAAATCTGGCCCATCCCAAAGGAGGCAAATTCTATAGCTCTAGAGTGGTACCCAGACATCTGCATCTTCAGCAAGCCCCTCAAATGATTCTGATATCCCTGATACCCAGAGCTGCTTAGGACTTTCATGGGCCCCAGGCAATTTTGCCTTTGTAGGCCCCTTACTCCATGAAAAGTATTAAACATGATACTTCGCTACTGCATTGGTATAAACATGAAGGTAATGAAACCAGATTATATTCTTTTTTTTATTTTTAAAGAAACTAAAACATTTCTGTAGACCCTAAAAGCTCAGGGGCCCTAGCTACTTTGCCTTCTGGATAGATCACCCTGCTTATACGTGGATACTGTAACTTTAGGTGTAACACTTCAATCCCTCTAACCCCTGGAGGGTCAACGTATTAATATTTATTTAATAATTGAGTTCACTCATTCGGGCAGGCTCTTCTGAGAAATGCAGGATGAAATGGGACCCTACTTGGTGGCTGACCATCTCTCCCTTTGACTGTCTTTTCTCCTTCCCACACTCCCCAGTTGCAGATAGCCAGGATCTCTTGCCGTGTCATAATCTCTATCTCTACAAAATTAGGAAATTATCTCCCAACACCCATTTACATTTCGAATGCATTCATATCAATGTCTTAACTCTCTACCCAGGTCTCTGCATGCCAGAAACTATTACCTCTAACTGAAATCAATACTTTGCCCTCAGAACAGCTTTCAAACCTTTCTGACCCTAACATACACTAAGAAATACATTTTATATCAGGCCCAGTACACACACAGATATAACTGAAAAGATTTATGAAGTATATTTACTCTGAAAGAAATTTTTCCTGGACAGTTTCACAAAATAATACTTATATTTACTATTGAATTAACTGAAATTACATATCCTGCTCCATTAAAAAAAAAATGCTGGTCTCACCCACTAAATTGATTTTATGACTTGTTAATGGGTCACAATCTACAACTTGAAAAACACTGGTCCAAGTAGTAGCAAATATAATAAAATATCTGGGAGGGAGCGGGTGAGGGAACCCTGGGGGAGGGAGCGGGGGAGGGAATTCTGTGTGAAGGAGGGTATGGGGGAGCTCTCAGTGAGGGCAGGTGTAAAAAAAATATATAGCTGAAGACAAATGTCTATTTCTGTGATAGGGATATACCTACTACAGGTAACAGACATCTCACCTTTAGTCACAACATCCTCTGCCCCAGTGTTTCTGAAGGAGTATCGGCCAACAAGGTCTCCTTTTTAAAAAATCCACTCAAATATTTAAGCAGCACCTACCATGTGCTGGGCACTGATCAAGACTCTGCAAATATACAATAATCAAAACAAAGTCCAAACCTTCATGCAGTGACATTCTCGTTGGGGGAGATAGTAATCAAATAAATAGGCAAATATATAGTAGTCAGATGGTGGTAAGTGCTACAGAAGGGTCTTTTTTCAGACCCTTCTTTTCCTGGGCATGTTCATTTCCCTTCCTCCTTTCTCCCAGAAAGTACGTACTCTCTTGGGATTTACTGATACCATCAGTTTGACCTGAGAAGGATGGGGCCAGTAGTCAATTCTTCTTAAAAGGTGACTTTGTGTATCTTTTCTGTTTTGAATGGTTACTGAGTTCAATATGTTTTTATAATTCTTAAATTCTTACTTAGACGGTAATGATAATAATTACCCCACATATTGCAAATGTAATGAGAGTGGGATCAAGTTCACTAAGCCAAGCTTTTAGTTAGTTTCAGGAGTCAGTAGCATTTCGTCCTTTTTATTCCAGGGCTGGTGTTCCTAGATGTCCCAGTTCCTTACACAAGGAGGCCTCTTATTGGGCCCCCACCTACTTTTCTCCTGATTGGTATTCTGCTCTGGATTACAGGGGTTAACCAGTGAGAATTCTACGGATTTGAGAAATGTAATCACTTCAGATCAAGGCTAGACTTCAAACTGCATTTGAATTAAGAGATCAAGAACTTAAAACAATCATAAATCTTCCCACACCATCTTATGACAAAGAATCCATGATCGCTACTGAAATTAACAACTGCACCCCTACCTCCCCAAAAGCTAGAATTCACCCAATGGATGATGCATTAGATCAGGAGTTAGCAAACTTTTAAAATATTTTCAGCTTTTCAAGCCATACTGCCTCTGTCACCACTCAACTCTGCCACCGTAACCCTAAAGCCACCACAGACAATATGTAAATGAATTGCATGGCTGTGTTCCAATGCAACCTTATTTACAAAAACAAGCAGCAGGTGACCCCTGCTGATGGAACCCTATTTCTTGGTGAGAACACTAGAGGCTTACATTTGAGAGAGGCTGATGAGATAGGAAAGGAAAGGCAAAGGCACTGAAGAAAGAGGCCTACCAATAACAAAGAGCCAGGTTGTCCAAAGAGCAACGTGTATGCAAGAAGGTGGCAAGAGACTAAAATGTTAATTAGGTGAGAACAGGACATTTATAAGCATATGCAAATTGCCCTTTTGCCATTTCATCTTTTATTTTAAAACTATATTATTTTAAAAATATTCTTAAAGTATTACTGAAAAAGTTATTTTCTATTAGAGTCGCAAACTTCTTCCTTGAATCAAAAGTTGTGCCACTATCCTGGTTACCTGTGGATTCACCAAGCAATCCAGCAAGTCATCTGTAGAAATGAATGTTTGGGAAGGGGCCACAGTACTATTTGAAGCAATTTGTTCCACAACTGCATTCTCACTTTCACTCATCATTCGTTGTCTCTTGGTATAATGCAATTTTCCAAAGCGTTTTCCATTTTTGCCAACAAAGTCTTCACCATCACTTTCAAACATGCCTCCTCTTTCTGAGGGTGGTTCTTGGGAACCTGGTATCACAGGAACCAGATCAGGACCAAAGGGACTTGCTGCCTCGTGTTTTACTGTTCCCAAGGTTAAGCTGTGGCTACTAGTTTGTGCTACCTCCACATGGTTGTGCACATTTAATTCTTCCTTTATCACGTACTCTCCGTCTGTGCTCAGCGCTTGGGTTTCTACTACCTTAGACGTTCCATAATGATCAAAAAAAGCAGAAACGGCTCCATTTAAGTAGCGACAGTTGACTTCATGGGATGTTTCCTCAACCTAAGGAAAAAGAAAAACTCTTTAAAATGGTTATAGGCACTTACATAAATTGGAAAACAAATGTTCCAGCCGGGATTGGTTTATCACAGGATACTAACTGCCATGATGAAAACCAGAAGGGACCTACCTCAGTTGGGTTTAACCAGGCTCTCGTATCATGTGGATTCTCTGCAGTTTTCAGGGCACACACAAGCATGCGGGTGATTGCCTCTTCTACCCGGGCTTGGTGGTCCTCTTCCTAAATCAAGGTTAAAAAAAGACACATTTTTTCATTTGTCTCTGTGTCTCATTGCTTAAAACAGAGTAGAGTCTCTTAATTGTATGTTCTGTTCTCTCATTAACATAAGATTTGTTACTGAAGGAATATGTTGTTGGCAGACCACAATTTTTATATATTCACTCTCCTCTGCCATCTCGAAGAGTTTTAGAATATTTCACCAACCAAATTTAAGTGTGTATCCTATCTATAAGACATAGACCTTAAGTATGAACCACCTTGTGGTTTTTTTCCCAATATTTTCCATTCTCTGACATGTTTAAAGTTAAAAAAAAAAGAGTATTACATACAAAGGAATAATCCCTGTAGAACAGTGGTCCCCAACCTTTTTGGCACAAGGACCGGTTTCACAGAAGACAGTTTTTCCACGGGATGTGGGGCGTGGATTGGTTCAGGCAGTAACATGAGCAATGGTTCAGGCGGTAATGCAAGCAATGGGGATCAATGGGGAGCGGCAGATGAAGTTTTGCTCGCTTGCCCGCTGCTCACCTTCTGCTGTGCGGCCTGGTTACTAATAGGCTGTGGACCAGTATCGGTCTGCGGCCCGGGGGTCGGGGACCCCTGCTATAGAGGATCATTTTGATAAGCTAATTTCTTGAGGAACGGGAAATAATTATAATAAACATTCTTGGCCACAATAATGAGATGACTAAATATCTAAATATGTCTTTTTAAAGAGACAATAAGTATGAACTATGGTATTAATGATAAATTACATTATATATATATGTGTATATATATGTAAAATTTTTGGGCTTCCCTGGTGGCGCAGTGGTTGAGCGTCCGCCTGCCGATGCAGGGGACGCGAGTTCATGCCCCGGTCCGGGAGGATCCCACATGCCGCGGAGCCGCTGGGCCTGTGAGCCATGGCCGCTGAGCCTGTGCGTCTGGAGCCTGTGCTCTGCAACGGGAGAGGCCCGCGTACCGCAAAAAAAAAAAAAAAAAAAAAATTTTTCTTTTTTTGGCAATCTTTTTTTTTGGCCACGCTGTGTGGCTTGTGGGATATTGGTTCCCCAACCAGGGATTGAACCCAGGCCCTCGGCAATGAAAGCGAAGAGTCCTAACCACTGGACTGCCAGGGAATTCCTAGTGATAAATTACATTAAAATCAATAGTTTCGTTCATCAAAAGATACCATAAAGGAAAAGACAAGCCAGATGTCTGTAACATATATAAGTGATAGGAAATGAATATGCAGAATATATAAAGAATCTGCACACATCAATAAGACAAATGACCTAATTTTTTAAAAATGGGCAAAAGACATGAAGACAAACATGTCAAAAAAAGAACAATTATAAGGTTAAAAACACAAGAAAATAGGCTTAGCTTCATTCATAATCAGGGAAATGCAAATCAAGAAACCCATGAAACTGGCAAAAGAGGGTCTGATAATTCCAAATGGTGGAGAAATGTGCTTGACAGAAATCTTGTTGATGGTGGAAAAACATGTCGGCATTATTTTATAAACTTGAGTATTGTGTACCCTATAGACCAGCAACTCCACTCCTAGATATATACATATATACATATTCTCTAGAGAAACTCTTGCACATGTGTACAAGAATATTCTATTTATAAAAGCAAAAGAAATTGGAAACAACCCAATTATCCATCAACAGAAAAATGAATCAAATTGTAGTATATTAACACAAGAGGATATTATATCATGGTGAAAATGAATGACCAGCTACGTGTGACAACACAGATGAATCTTAGAAACATAATATTAAATTAATAAAATAAAGGCAAATCCCCAGGATGAGATACCACTTCACACTAGGAAGGCTATAATAAGCCAGATAACGACAAGTGTTGGCGAGGATATGAAGAAATCAGAATCTTCACAAATTGCTGGTGGGAATGTAAACAGTACAGCTGCTTTGAAAAACAGCCTGGCAATTCCCCAAAAGTTAAATGTAGAGTTACCAGACGGTTAATTTTATAAGTCAACTTGGCTAGGCTATGGTGACCAACTGCCTAGTCAAACAGTAGTCTAGATGTCGCCGTGAAGGTGTTTCGTAGATGCGATTAATATTTATAATCAGCTGACTTTAGGTAAAAGGAGATTATCCTCAATAACGTGGGTGGACCTCATCCAATCAGTTGAAGGCCATAGGAGTAAAATTTAAGGTTTTCTGGAGAAGAGATTCTGCCTCAAGATTGCAACAGAAATCCTGAGTGAGTTTCCAGCCTGCCAGTGAGTTTCCAGACTGTTCTACAGATTTTGGACTACAGACTACAACTTTAACTCTTGTCTGAATTCCCAGCCTGCTGGCCTGCCTTGGCCGATGTATCATATGACCCAGCAACTCCACTCCTAGGTACATACCAAGAGAAATGAAAGCATACATCCACACAAAAACTTGTACACGAATGTTAACAGTAGCATTATTCATAATAACCAAAAGTAGACACAACCCAAACGTCCATCACTTGATTAGTGGATAAACAAAATGTGGTATAGCTGTACAATAAAAAATTTTTTAGCCATAAAAAAAAGGAATGAAGTACTGATACATGCTACTACATGGATGATTCTTGAAAACATTATGCTGAATGAAAGACGCCAGCCATAAAAAGTGTCCCCTTCAAATAGCTAAAACAGAAAAAAAAAAATTCTGTATAGTTTTAGAAGTAATGGGTATGGTTACAAGCAGGCAGGTGACAGCTCCACGATGGAATGAGCTATCTTGGGAGGCAAAGCATCTGTAAGGCTATTGTAGACGTGACTTTGGCACTGGGAGTGGAAGTGAACTCCTGGGAGTGGAAGTGAACTCCATGCATTCTACCTTGATATTTGCTCTGATTCCAATACAGCGTGCTGCAAGCAGAGTTTCTTTCTTTCTTTTTTTTCATGTATAGTATTTTTAAAGGTTTATTTTATACAGCAGTTTCTTATTAGTTATCTATCTGAAACTATTAGTGTATATATGTCAATCCCAATCTCCCAATTCATCCCCCCACTCTCCACCCGCCTGCTTTCCCCCCTTGGTGTCCATACGTTTGTTCTCTATATCTGTGTCTCTATTTCTGCCTTGCAAACCGGTTCATCTGTACCATGTTTCTAGATTTCACATATATGCATTAATATACAATATTTGTTTTTCTCTTTCTGACTTACTTCACTCTGTATGACAGTCTCTAGGTCCATCCATGTCTCTACAAGTGACCCAATTTCATTCCGTTTTATGGCTGAGTAATATTCTATTGTATATATGTACCACATCTTTATCCATTTGTCAGTTGATGGGCATTTAGGTTGCTTCCATGATCTGGCTATTGTAAATAGTGCTGCAATGAACATTGGGGTGCATATGTCTTTTTGAATTATGTTTTTCTCTGGGTATATGCCCTGTAGTGGGATTGCTGGGTCATATGGTAGTTCTATTTTTAGATTTTTAAGGAACCTCCATCCTGTTCTCCATAGTGGCTGTATCAATTTACATTCCCACCAACAGTGTTAAGAGGGTTCGCTTTTCTCCACACCCTCTCCAGCATTTGTTGTTTGTAGATTTTCTGATGATGCCCATTCTAACCGGTGTGAGGTGATACCTCATTGTAGTTTTGATTTGCATTTCTCTAATAATTAGTAATGTTGAGCAGCTTTTCATATGCCTCTTGGCCATCTGTACGTCTTCTTTGGAGAAAAGTCTATTTAGGTCTTCTGCCCATTTTTTGATTGGGTTGTTTGTTTATTTACCGTTGAGCTGCATGAGCTGTTATATATTTTGGACATTAATCCTTTGTCTGTTGATTCGTTTGCAAATATTTTCTCCCATTCTAAAGGTTGTCTTTTTGTATTATTTATAGTTTCCTTTGCTGTGCAAAGCTTTTAAGTTTCATTAGTTCCCATTTGTTTATTTTTGTTTTTCTTTCCATTACTCTAGGAGGTGGGTCAAAAAAGATCTTGCTGTGAGTTATGTCAAAGAGTGTTCTGCCTATGTTCTCCTCTAAGAGTTTTATAGTATCTGGTCTTAAATTAGGTCTTTAATCCATTTGGAGTTTATTTCTGTGTATGGTGTTAGGGAGTATTCTAATTTCATTCTTTTACATGTAGCTGTCCAGTTTTCCCAGCACCACTTATTGAAGAGACTGTCTTTTCTCCATTGTGTATCCTTGCCTCCTTCTCATAGGTTAGTTGACCATAGATAAGTGGGTTTATCTCTGGGCTTTCTATCCTGTTCCATTGATCTATATTTCTGTTTTTGTGCCAGTACCATATTTTCTTTTTTTTTTTTTTTCATATTTTCTTGATTACTATAGCTTTGTAGTATAGTCTGAAGTCAGGGAGTCTGATTCCTCCAGCTCTGTATCTTTCCCTCAAGACTGCTTTGGCTATTTGGGGTCTTTTGTGTCTCCATACAAATTTTTTTTTT